TTCAAATCTCTAATATTCAGAGCTATCCAAGAGTTGAAGCAAAAAGCAGACAAAAATGAGGAAAAAATAGACAAATTCATGGAAAAGGCAGACAAATTCATGAAAAATACAGACAAAAAAGGGAGGAATTCAGGAAAATAATACAGGAACAAAATGCTAAAATAAATTCACGACTAGAAATCATACAAAAACAACAATTAGAAATCTGAAAGATAACAAGATTTCAGAAATGGTGTCATAGAGGGGCTGAGAAACAAGTTTGAAACAGTAGAAGACAGTATTAGTGAAATTGAAGACAAACACTTGGCTACAACTTTGAGGAAAAATCAGAAAAAAACAAAAATGAAGAAACCCTGAGAATGATGTGGGATACAATAAAAAGCAAAAATTTTCGAGTGATCATAGTTCCAGAACAGGGAGAAAACAGAAAGCACAGAGAGGACCATTGAAGTACTGCTGACAGAACACTTCCCTAACATGAAAGTTGAAAAGCTGACCATCCAAGAAGCTCAACGAACCCCATATAGGATAGACCCCAAAAGAAAATCACCCAGGCAAACCATAATCACACTCACTAAAACCAAAACAAAGAATCCTGAGAGCAGCTTTAGAAAAACAAAAAGTCACATATAGAGGGGAAACAATAAAACTAATCTCTGATTACTCGGCAGAAACCATGCAGGCAAGAAAGCAATGGGATGATATTTATAAAACCCTGAAAGAAAAAAATTGCCAACCAAGAATAACATATCCTGCAAAACTCTCATTCAAATATGGTGGTAAAATTAGATAATTTCCAGATAAACAGAAATTAAAGGAATATGTAAAAACAAACCAGACTTACAAGAATTATTAAAGGGAGTCCTTCAGTTTGAGAACAAACAACATCAGACGACAGCCTGAATCTAGGATGCAAGATCACACCAGCCAGATATTAACTTAGGAAATGAACTCCCAAGGACTATTCAAAACCAAAAAATTTACAACAGGGAACCAGAGAGGTTAACCTGCAAGTGATAACAAGGTCAGAACAATAAAAAAAGGGAATAAATGATGTAAGTACAGAACTTTCTAACGGAGAGGAAGGCAAGGCAATACCAAGTAATAATAGACAAACCTAGGAAGATAAGGGTACATTTCAACATAGCCACAAAGAAAGTTAACAAATCTACTCATCAAAATAAAGAAGAAAAACAGAAAGTCTCAGTAAAAACAAAATCTACAAAAGCAAAAGAAATGAAAAAAAATCCACAAACAAAAGGAGTTCAGCACAGGAGAGTAAGACAACAAAGAAATCATCAGCACCACAGAAAAAAGCATTACAAAATGACAGCAATAAACTCATACCTATCAATAATTACATGGAACATAAATTGCCTAAATGTACCAAAAAAGAGACAGAGAGTGACAGAATGGATTTAAAAAAACAGGATCCATCAATATGCTGTCTATTAGAGACACACTTTAGAAACAAAGACATAAATTTATTAAAAATCAAAGGATGGAAAAAAATGTATCAAGCAAACAGCCACCAAAAAAGAGCAG